GCAGGGGGTTGCGTAACGACATCCACGGCCCCTGATTTAGCCATGGCTTCCGAGATGTAAAGGATCTTTTGCATTCTCCCAAGAATTGCACTTTCAAAGGCCACAAATAGCCCAGGCATCTTGGTCAGATCCTTGCTCGCGGGATCGCGCGTCCAGTCTTCCAGCATTTTGCAGATCTCTGCGTCTTTGCCCCAAGCCGCACATGCAACCCGGACGGAGCGCTCACGAGCAATGCTTACAAGAGACTTGAGCAGATCATGAGTGTTACCACCACTTGCTACAGGATTCAATGCGGCCATTTCGCTCGCCGCGGTGCCAATGATGATCATGAATTGGCCGAGATAGTGGACACCACTGAGTGAATTCGAGAAGGGCGGCCAGAAGACATAGTCCTCCCAGAACTCCCCGCGCTTGGGTGTGGGTATTGGCATGTTCTTCGGGTCGAGTTTGAAGCGTGATTCTGTGGGAGTCACGCCTTGGCTTATCGGACTATTCGGGGTTGCTGGTGATATTGGAGACGCCAGGAAGGCAGCATCATCCAAGGGTGGGTCAGCAAACAATGACAGCACATTTTCGCGAATAAGGTCGACCAACTCCACGACCCCGGTCTGTAGCTTCCTGGTCTCACTTTGGGACAGCCGGTGATGTCTGCGGCTTTCTCCTTCGAACCCAGCGGGGAGAAGCTTCTGTCTGGAACCGTCAATGAAGGATTGTGCTACTTCCCAGAAATCAAACACTTCGCCGAGTAGCCCACCCTGCGATGCCAGCAACTTGTTGAGATACGCTAGAATACATTCCCAGAGCTCGACTACCTGATCAGTGTCCAGCACGCCTTGCAGATCCGCTGATTCTTCTCGTGGTGCCAGGCGGAGATACGATGCCACAGCTTTGGGTGTTGGCTTGTCGCCACCAGCAAGCCGGCGTCGGAGGATCTCAATCTCCATCTTGCAGCGTCCACAGAAGGCACCAATTTTAGACTTGAGGAAGTCATAGCGGCTGAGCAGCCACACCCAGATAGGGTTGTCGTCCACGCCCAATTCCAGCAGAGCGCCGATCAACTCCATATATTCTTCCACAGTGCCGGCCGCAGCGGCCGTGGTTGATGTGGTAGGCGCATCGCTGAGACGTCTCCACAGATCGCGCTTGAACGCCTGGATCTGATGGTCCACATCCATCCACATCCGACCCATGGCGAGGATAGCGTGCGTCTCTTCGTCTGTCAGAGATCGCCCACTGCTGATTGCCTTGTGTGCAATATGCTTAGCGCTCTTGGCCAGCGTTCTTGCTTTTGTATATTGTTCGAATACAGAGTCGTAGTCCCTCTGCTTTATAGATTTCGAGAGAAGTCCACCTATCTCGTATACATCCCGGTGCTTGTCCATCGTGTCGACAACTGACTTGAGCATCTGTTCTCGCTCGCGTCCGCCCAACGCCGGACCCCAGACTTCTTCAGCTTTGACGGAGGCCTCCAAGAGCGGTACTCGTATTCCCTTCATGCCATAGTCGCTTTCCTTTGTTAGAGCATTCTTTCCCGGCCTGTCGTCCGCAAGAGGCGCGCTTCGCGAAGCTCCGGAAATACTTCGAAGATGTCCAGCTGACCTGCGATGTGACTGAGCCAGTGGAACATGGTTTGCTTTCCCTTGGTTTCTCATCTCCGTATAGACGCTATCAATTGTTGCTTTGGCCCGTACAAAGCGCTCGAAGTTCGCCTCGACGAGGACTTTCAATGACGCCGATTTCTGGTCGATAGATCTCGAGAGGAAGTCGAGTCCTTCAAGAAGTGACTCAATCGACGCATCGGAGTGAACTTGGGAGAGGAAAAGGGCGGGAGAAAATGAGGTTGACGAAAGCAAGAACCGGTTCCGTAAGCGGGTTTCGTCTTCCAAGGCTAGTCCTCGTTTCTTCAGGATCTGAAGGACGCTGTCACCAGACCCGAGAGGATCGGGTTCATCGATCTTGGCAAGGTTTTCCCTTGCATTACTTCCTTTGAAGGATCCAAGGCTGAGGGCCTTACCACTATGACTGCGTTCGAGGGCGAAGTATCGGGACCTCCTGGCTCGCGAAGGAGTACGGCCCAGAGCTTCTTCGTCGTCGGAAGGTTCACTCTGATCAAGCTCAGCAGGCCATTCCTCAGGGTAGGCCGATGGAAGGTTATAATAATTCGCAACCTGGATGTCGGTCATGCTGGTATATAGCCAAGGCTAAGGGTTGAAGGGGGAACGGTGGATCAGTTACTCGACCTCGTGCTAGACACACGCAACTGCAAGGGTAAGCAATGAAGGTACAACAGGAAATGAAACAGCTTACAGTACCATGACCCTGTAGATAAAGTGAAACTTTACCTCAAAACCTTCATATATAGCTCGTTTAAGGATGGCTGCTGACTGCTGTCCAACCTGAAGCGTTATCTAATCTGAACGGTAAACGATCAGTGGTGGAGCGACTACGGCAGACGGTAACTAGCTCAATGGCCATTTTAAGTTCCATCAAGCAGCTTACGACTTTGCGATGTGAGTACGGAGGTATGGAGTAGAGAAAGTGATATTATGGCTTAAGATAGTAAAATCGACTATAAGAATCAACAGCCAGAAGAATTCACCTACTGTGTCCAGATATTGCTTACATATAAAAAGCAAGGCTACCTTACCGCTTTACAAAGTGACCGTGCTGTCTGTACCTTAAGGTAGCCAGGAGGCAGAACAGACTAAGTAGTGTCCATACCGCCCACGTGTCAAACCGGGTTAGGAATAGCTGCTTCCCGAACGGGGCCAGTCGGGCCGGCCGCACCACTTGCGTAGTTGATACCTCAGGTTGCAGTAGGATTGATTGAGCGGTGGCTTTCGGGTTACCGGGATAATTGTTGTAAAAAAGACCCTCTTCTCTCTGCCCCCAAAGTTCCCGCACAAGTGACCCGCCACCGCGTACTATTCTTCTTCTCTCTTTCCTTCCGTCTACCTTCAATCCCTCTCCTCTCTAAGACCTGAACGTCGGTTGTTGATCCGGGGACCTATCACAATGATCTCTGCCAGAAATTTCGTTGCCCCGGCCCGCCAATGCCTGCGGACAACACGTGTGTCTCCAGGTTTTGCTTCGCCTCTGTCGCAGGTAATACACGACATTCAGACGATCTCATTCCACTCGATTCAATTGCGGAACTGATCAAGCTAATGTTTCTAACTAGCTGCGCGGGTATGCCTCAGCTGCTGACGATCGTGTCGCCAAGTTCAAGGGACAGAAGGGTCCTGATGTACGTCAAGCCTCTATCAACTTTTTTTTACCTTTCCTTCTTCTCCGGTGACATCCACCGCTGCTACGTGGAATATTCGACCTTCCAGCAGCCATTGAGCATTAATTTTTGGAAGATGAGAATATTACAAGGACTCAGGTCTGACGATGTTTGATGAATAGGGAAAGTACACAGTCACCCTGATTGAGGGTGACGGCATCGGTCCTGAGATTGCGCAGTCCGTGAAGGATATTTTTGCTGCCGCAAAGGTAAAGCTCGCTCTTCTTATTCGGTCTCGCGCCGGAATATTGAGTACTAAATTAGCTGTAGGCCCCCATCAAGTGGGAGCCCGTCGACGTCACTCCCATCTTGAAGGACGGAAAGACCGCTATTCCCGACGACGCCATCAAAAGTGTGCAGAAGAACTATGTCGCTCTCAAGGGTCCTCTTGCTGTTAGTCAACCTTGTGCCCTGGCGATCCGCAGAAATATAGTGCTAAGACGAAATCATGCAGACTCCTGTCGGCAAGGGTCACGTTTCCCTTAACCTTACTCTCCGTCGTACTTTCAACCTGTTTGCGAACTTGCGTCCCTGCCGCTCCGTCGCCGGTTACAAGACTCCTTACGACAACGTCGATACTGTTCTGATCCGCGAGAACACCGAGGGTGAATACTCTGGCATTGAGCACGTTGTTGTCGATGGTGTTGTCCAGAGCATCAAGCTCATCACCAGAGAAGCTTCCGAGAGGGTTCTCCGTTTCGCCTTCCAGTACGCTCGTTCGGTCAACAAGAAGAAGGTCCGTGTCGTGCACAAGGCCACCATCATGAAGATGTCCGATGGTCTGTTCCTCAACACTGCCCGCGAAATCGCCAAGGAGTTCCCCGATATCGAGTTTGATGCTGAGCTGCTGGACAACTCTTGCTTGAAGATCGTTACCGATCCCACTCCTTACAACGACAAGGTCCTTGTCATGCCCAACCTGTACGGTGACATTCTGTCCGACATGTGCGCCGGCCTGATCGGTGGTCTCGGTCTCACTCCTTCCGGTAACATCGGTGACGAGTGCTCGATCTTCGAGGCCGTTCACGGCTCTGCTCCCGATATTGCTGGCAAGGGTCTCGCAAACCCCACTGCTCTGCTCCTGTCCAGTATTATGATGCTGCAGCACATGGGTCTCACCGAGCACGCTGCTCGTATTCAGAAGGCCACTTTCGACACCCTCGCTGAGGGCAAGGTATGTTCAGTCCCGGGACGATCTGTTCCGTTCTATCGAACTTTACGGATGCTAACATTCTATATTACAGACTCTCACTGGCGATCTGGGAGGCAAGGCCAAGACCCACGAGTATGCTGAGGCTATCTGCAAGCGCCTGTAAGGGACTTGCCGTTGAAATGTACTATTCCCTCAAATGTCCTACTTTTAGCCCTTGAACGACCCTAGATCTTTTTTATATGTACTTAGATGTACTTAGTAAGATGCCACTTATACCGAAAGTTATCCTTTTTGTGCTCCTATACGATCTGATCTCACTGGTCGCTTCTGTACTTGCAACCAAGTGGTACATCCAAGTGGTCGACGACACACTCAGTGTTTCTCATTTGAAGCTTGTTCCGTACTGGTCAGACCCTAACGTAAAGATGATCATAGTAGTACAAGCATCATGGCTCCTGCATAATCATACATAAATCCTGCCGAACGCCTACTCCGAGCTTTTCAAGGTATCGAAATGCAAATCATGTCAAAAGATGAAAGAGAACCCCAAGGAGCCGAATCCTATCGTCGCCGACCACCTCTTCTGGTTCCTGTTCCCCCGCCCCTGCCTCCTTTTTGTCTGGATTTGGTCGTCTGCGCACGTGTGCTCCTTGTAGTCGGTGAGCCGCCTGTGTCTCCATCCGCGTGGTCCTCTTCGCTCTCGTCTTGCGCCCCATCTGACCCTTCCTCGTCGCCTTCTTCGTTGGCCCCGGTCTCCTCGGACCCTACGTCTTCTTCCCCGGCGCCTGATCCTTTACGAGATTCAATCTCGACTTGGAGTCTCATCGAACGGGTGCCTCGCGTTCCTTGGCGAGCGCTGCGGGTTCCTTTTCTGCCTCGTGACGGTGCTGGGGATGAGCGTGGTTCTATAACCGGAACAAGAATTAGAATCATGCGACTAGTCATAATAATAATTTCTCACCATCTGTATCCGCTATTGTACTGCCTCTTCTGGACTCTGCTTGCGCACTGGGATTAGGTGACGCGGATCCCTCCATCGCTAGTCTCCTCTCGAACATCAGGTCGCCGTATTCATCTTCGGGCAGTTCAAACGGGCAATAGAAGTCTTTTGATCCGTCAGGGTCATCAGATTGTTCTGTAATCAACGAATCTTCCTGGATCGTTAAAAATACGTCAGTGCCGCAATTGAAGGAGGAAACGCGCGCCTGCCATGACGTACACGTTCATCGAGCGCAGGCAGGTTGTAGAGTGTTCCTAGCTTCTTCCATATTCCTGGTATCCGCGTGTGCTCGCAATTCGATGGCGCGTAGCCCTGGCTTTTCATGAACTCGGATATTGCTATCATACGGAAGTGTTTGTGCATGCCTTGAGATATATGCACCGATTAGTTTGTTTTTCGTCACTTGGACGCAAATCGTTGGCAACGTTGAGTGAAAGATTGTCGGAACTTACCAACTGGCTTCCATTTGATAATCCCCTTCAGCAGAGCAGTCTCCTGCTCATCTGTCCAGGGATCCGCCACCAAATCGTGCCCATTGTCTGGCTTGCCTGCGCCCTCACTGGCGGGTGTATCGGCGGCCGGCTGCGCAGATTCGGCTTGGACGTCAGTCAGCTTTAGTTTCTTCTTAGGTGGCATTGTAACATAGCACCGTCTTGAGACGGACAGCGAGCTACAGAAGGTAGTCTGGACAATGGAAATCCTGTCTGGCTATTTCAGGTCAGGTATGACGATGCGCGCAACAGCGCCTAGGATTCCCTAACAAACGGTGGCCCGGGCGTTGGCTTGGCGCAGGCGCTAGTACGCTTTAAGCTTAGTCGCATGTGATGGCGCGCCAACAACGCGTTAAGGCTCAAGATGCTGATAAGGAGTCTAGGATTATATGCATGAAATGGCACGGCATGGATGATGATGGATCAGGGCCAGTATGACGCGGATCCGTTCTCGAGCGATAGTTTGTGGAAGCTTTCCGATTTTACTTTGGAATTTTTGCAGCCGTCGGATTTATTCCAATGGAATGAGAACCTACCTGGTACGTTCTACACATTAGCACTTACTTGACGCGAATCATGGGCAGCTGACAGCTTCGCCTTGAAAGATTTGAATGAGGGGTTTTTTAAGAGCCCTCTGAAGCTGCGCGCGGGAGATGCAGACCCATTACCCCAGCTGGATAATATCGAAGGGCATACCGTTTTCCTCTTCGATCAGCCGGCAGAGTCAATCACGGATGCGTTCAGTGATACTCAAGTAGACGATTCCCTTAGCCACCAGAACGATGATATTCTCGAAGCCGAGTCAGATAGCATCTGGACGCTTGAAAGCCTGCAAAGTGCTACAATTTCTGAGATTGCGCTGAGGTCATGGGAGAGGTACCATGATCGATCGTCTCTCGAGCCGACGTCCGCTTATTTCAGCGAGTCCGGTGCGAAAGGCTTTGATTCGGCTTTGGCACGCCAGTATCCCGAAAATGGATCTAAAGACGCGAGACGTGTGGCTCGGAATGATGTCTTCTTCCATGCTCTATTTAGGCTTGGACTAGGCTGGAGCTCCATATTCTTCCGTTACAATAAGCAGCGGAAAGCGTTTGAAAGGGTATCTGACAAAGTCCGCGTTTCTGGGGTCAGCCTCGCCGTTGTCAATGGCCTGACAGAGGATGTCCTCCGCTGTGGTACGGCTATGTACAACATACGGGATTTTGCGCGCCGGACTCGGATCAAGCCCAAGGAGTTCTCTGCTCGATCTGCTTTTGCCAGTGCTGCGGCTGTGATTATCTACACGCTTGAGAAGCAAATAATTAACTATTTTAAGGAAGTCTCGTCCCTCGTTCAAATCATGACACTCTTTCAGCGGTGTGGTGATCTGGTTGGCGCGTTATCAAACATAGTCGAAGCAGTCCAGAAAGCTGCGTCAGATACGCAAGTAATCTCTGCCGTCATTGAGAAGGCGGCTCATTTTTCTCAAACTTTCGGCTCTGTGGAAAATCTTTTTCATGAACTTGTTGCTCGTGTGATTGCACCTTGGCTCCATTACGTGGAAGCTTGGGTCGGCCTGCGCACTGAGACACCCGCATTAGTGGAAATGGCGGCGAAGAGTGAAGCCTTCGTGGCCATAGAGCGATACGAGGGTAGAGCAGGTTCGAGAAGTGCGAAAGCAGCAAGTTTGCAATATCGTTATCATCCGGAGCAAATGCCGACCTTTATCCCCGCGGAGCAAGCCGAATTGATATTCGAGACCGGTCGAAGCTTGCGGCTACTCAGACATTACCATCCTCAGCACCCAATCGCAAATGATGCGATCCTTCGCAAAGATGGTCCCAATTTGCGATGTGCGGGAAGTTGGTCCGACATAGAGAGAATCCAAAAGAAAGCCCAGCAATATGAGGCTCAACTCCGCTCGGAAATCCTCAGGTACAGTCGGGGCCAACACTCGGGGCAAGTGAGGAAGGATAAAGTACTTGCAGGAGAACAAATGCAGATACCTGGTTCTGACGGAGACGATCAAGCTATCTCTGGTGCTTTCGAGCTCTTCGACATCGATGATTCCAAGCATACGACCGGGTTGCTTGCGAGTGACTCTTCCTTAGAAGACGACGAACTCGGACCATTGTTCGCCACAAGTAGGTTGGAGATGTCTCGACCAATTCATCCACACAGGAACAATTTTGGGCCAGAAATGATATCCGCTGTCTATCTTTCTCTGGCGCCGCTACTATCCTCCCAAGCTTTACTCGTTGACTTTTCCTGTCTTCACCTCTTATTCAAGGAACACAAATTAAGATACCACCTCACCCTGCAGTGGCGATTTCAACTGTTAGGTGATGGCTTCTTTGCCTCGCGCCTCTCGCACTCACTTTTTGATCCTGAAATGGAGAGTGGCGAGCGTAGATCAGGCGTCGTACGAAGCGGCGTGCATACCGGTTTGCGCCTAGGAGATCGTGACACTTGGCCTCCTGCAAGCTCCGAGTTGCGACTGGTATTGATCGGCCTTCTCAGTGAATGCAACATGGACGGACGCCTAGACAGTTCAAGTAATGCCGATTTTCTCAGGGAACGGGATCTTCCTGGTCAGTTAAGTTTTTCAATTCGCGACTTGACCGACGAAGAGATTGTGAAATGCAAGGATCCGAATGCCATTGAAGCACTCGATTTTCTCCGTCTTCAGTATAAGCCCTCCGCTGTTCTGGAAACGATTATAACGCAACGATCTTTGGATCAATACGACCGCCTATTCAAGCATTTGTTACGCCTGATCCGCATGGTTTCGGTAGTCAGAGGTCTCATTCGCGATTCAACTGCAAGGAGCTCTCTTTCTGGGGATACACGAAATCTTTTCCAGAGATTCCGCATAGACTGTCAACATTTCGTCCTCGCAGTGAGCGATTACTGCTTTCACATTGGCGTCGGCTCTACCTGGAAAAGTTTCCAGGATACCCTTACGAGAATTGAATACTGTCTCGAGCAGGGCGACATAGACGGCGTTATAGAAGCAGCACACTCCGTTTCCTGGCTGAGAAGGTACCACGAAGACACCCTTGACCAGATGCTCTTCGCCCTATTCCTGAGCAAGAGACACGCCGAGGCTGCCAGATTGCTTGAGAAGATCTTCGGGACGATTCTGACATTTGCTCCGCTGTCCCGGCTCGATGGGATGGAGGGTGTTCGCCATGAGAGCGAAGATACAATTGCGCATCTCTATGCGACCTTCCGAAAACAAACATCGGCCTTTGTCGGCTACCTGCGCGGGTTGGACGGCGTAAAGGCTTCATCCAAGTTCGCCAGCAGGTCGAGAGCAGAACCAATAAGCATATTCGAGCGTCTTCTGGTGCGATTAGACATGAAAAGATACTATTGACCGAGTCAACGCCCTCGTTCTGTGTTCAGCTAGCAACTTTCAGAGATTTTCCGGCCGGTGGACAGGATATAACATTTGATTTGCGAATGCGCGAATATCTAGCAAGTATCTCTATTGACGTGACATAATCGATCCCGTATACCTCGTTATTTCTCAAATTATTGCCCATACATGCAGTCCCAGAACGCCAGCCTTCCATCCAGTAATCATGATCGCTATGAAAACAGTCGCAGCCATTCTAAAAAAGCTAGAAGAAATGAAGATTTGATTCTTTCCACCCCTGGGCTAAAAGGATCGTCTTGGCAGACTTTTCCATCGCCTCAGGCCCGCAGATGAGTACCATGCTCTCATCGTCAGCCGCCGCAAACTCCGTCAGAAGTGCTTCGCTGATACGTCCTCTCCGGCCAGTCCACGTGTCTGGTGCTTTGCTGAGAGTATGTACTATCGTGCACTTGTTCTTATCTGACGCCTCAAATGCATCGAGCTCGGCTCGACACAGGATATCCTCCTCTTGTCTGTTACCAAAGAGGACAACGCACGATGTGGGATCTTGAGGGTCTTGCATCACTGCGCGGAGAACCTGAAAGATCGGGGTGATACCTGTACCGCCGCAGATCATCTTGAAGGAGCGTACGCGCCGCTCCTTACCGCTGATAGTAACCCTGCCATTTCCGAGATACTCGAACCGGCCTGTGGGGCCCTTGCACTCGATCATTGAGTCAAGGGGAAGCTGGTCGAGGGCCATTGTCATTTTTCCACCGGGTACGGTTGGCGTTGGAAAGTAGACCTTGATGAGTACATCAACTGACCCCTCTTTGTTGGGATCGGAGAGCGGGGTGTATGATCGGATGATAGTTTCCTTGGTTGTGGGGTCCTGGACCTTGATCATCATATGCTGTCCAATCGGTAAGCCCAGCTTTTGCTTCTGGTGTTCCAGTTCGAACGTGAATATGCGCGTATCCCAGGAAACATCCCGCTTTGCTGCGAGTTTCGCCTTCGTCCATGACCGTGGTTGGAGGAAGAGTGCACGGGGCTCGCTGGGCTCTTCTTCTTTGCCGGCTTCTTTGAGCGCCTTTAGGGACGCCTCATCCATTGTACCGATGTGATAGTCAGGCATCATTGCTTTCGCCGTCTCGCTATCTGTAACTGATGTCAGCCTTGCGTTTTCTCAGGGAAAAAAAGACGGCTGTCGGAGAACTCACGAATTTCGGAAAAGTCCTCAGTCACGTCTAACCCGATGGAAGAGATGATGCTCTGTGCTCCTCCGGGGTGACCTTCAAGGAAAGGCTTGCCATCATACACTTCTCCCTTCACGATAAACCAATGGGCGCCCTCTTCGTTGTTCTTCTTGAACTCTTCGAGACTAATAGTTCGATTCAAGCCTTCCTTCTTCATGTTGATTTCCTTCACAGGTTCCGGTTCTGCCAATGTTTCTCCTTGGCTCTCTCCCCAGTTGCCGTTGGTCAGATCGCCGCCAGCCTTTTTGACGCGTTCCATCCAGCCGCCGGCCATGACAGGATGAGTAGGGTGTTCAAACAACAAGGTCCCATTCTGTTTTGTGATAGTCACTCGGAACCAAGGATTGTTCATCATTCCGAGAACGGACCAGTACATGTCGCGCGGTTGGACGCTCATTGCTTCATCCATACCTCTCACTAGCAGGGCGTCGCTAGCTTCCAAATCGGACACAGGAATATCCAGAGACCAGAAACACCAGCAGTAACATGTTTCACGCCAAGGCATGTCGACTTTGCCGCCGAACAATTCGCCGTCAAAGTCGCGGTACCTGTCTTCAGCATACTGAATGTTCGCCAACCGCCAAGCTGCAAGACAAGTTAGCTCTGTTAAGAGACGGTAAAGATTGAATAGCATACATTTGCCTTTGTTCAGCGAGATCTCGACTCTAGTGACTCTTCGGCCCCCTCCAGCATATGCATAACCCTTGGCGGTGTAGGACGGCCCAGCAGTCGCAGGATCAAGGACTTCGTTGTGTTGAGGGTACGCAGCAGCAGAATTCACATTGAGATCATAAATGGCATAGCGTTCGTCACGCCACCACATCGGATCTGAAGCGGCCATTTCGGGAGAGACGGTCGTTCTGTTGCAACGCTCAGCAAGCGGTCATCTGAGGTATCTCGGTTCACTTACGGTAATACTCGGTTGTCATAGATGTGATACCAGTTGTCACTGGGTGCATCAGTCAAGATCAGTTTCTTGATCCACTTCACGCTTCGACCGCCGATTTGACCAGGTACAACAGCTCTCAAGGGACGACCGTGATCCGGACGAAGAGGCTCGCCATTCATCTTATGCGCAAGCATGATCAATTTGTTGGGATCCATAGCCCAGTTGAGCTTGACCGATGTGCCATAGTAGCCATTAGGCTATAGCAAAGTCAGTGGACCAGAGAATGGAATGGCAATTCCAGGAGGAATACTGACCAGCTTATCTGCTCCCTCCATGCAGACGTACTTGGCCTGACGCAGTGGCTTGGCATATCGAAGGACATCCGCCATCAAGGGGCCCGTAAAAAGGGCTGTTGACAGACCAGCTGGTCCCCAAGAAAACCCCTTTGATTTCCGCACTGTATTCTGCTCCTTGCGTCTGTTTCCGGCACATACAAGTGTAATTGGGGCTGTGATCTGATCGAATTTCTGCAAAATCTGACGAAAGTTCAAGACGACGGGCCGCTCGACCAGCCTTTACGAGAGTTAGATCCCTCGGCATTTGAACAACATCATCGAACAATCACTTACCCTTCGATGCTGATCTCCCAGTTTGGAATATCCTCGTCACGCACTACAGGGACAGGTCCATGGTTCCTGACGTAGAAGAGTTCTGGTGATGTCAAGAAACCTTTACGTGGGTGTGAGCCGAGCGTCATGCCAATTGGAATAAAGTGAGCTCCAAAGGAGAGTTCATACCTTCATTGAACAGCGTTGTCAGTGGAGGTTCGACATTGAATGGGTGGACGCCCGTTAATCTGATGAGCCGAGGGTCTCGAGGAACATGATTGTCTGGTGTGCCCTTGTCTTGAGCGAGGATCTCAGTCGGGTTCGTGGATGGCGGTGGAAGGGGGATATCTGGCAGGTCGAGATTCGAGATCTCCTTGACTGTGATCTGGCCTGGTACTACCGTAAGGCTCTTCGGCAAGACCGTCTGTGTCTCCTGCGTCTGAACTTGGGTTATGGTCGCCATCGCTCAGAGTTTCACAGCTGATAATGATGGGATAGAATGAAGGGAACACGGAGAAGCGAGCCGGCTTTTTTAGACTAGAAACCCCCCCAAGGATAGGCCAGACAGAAGAAGGCAACCATAGTCAGGTTGGAATGAATCAGGAAAATGACGCATTCTGTTTCCAAGTGAGGAAGCCAGTAGTCAGACACATTCTCTTGACACAGAAATTGCATATTTACTTGTATAAACAAACGGCCTCGGAGAAAGGCTAGAAGTAGGCCGGGGATATGTTCATGATGACGATCTCCGCGGGATCTCAAGGTAGTATTGGGTTGGAAAACCGCTAGATAAGCCTTAAGCTACCACGGTATCTGCTCGGATCGCTGCGATCCCGATAGTGCAAATGGGAACTGGGTCTGGTATCTGCCATGGTATGACGATGAGCTTTCGCCCATCATAGGAGCTCTCAGGCCAGCGTGGACTGTGGACGAGGAGATACAGCCTGTATCCTTATTGGCAAAGAAACAAGCTGAGTGCCCTTGGAGCACTGTGGAATTAGGGAGAATCATGAGACATTTCTTCAAAAATGAGGCCCATTCCTCCCACCCGCCACGGTGGGACGAAAGTAAGGGACGATCCCATAGCGAGTCCAGCGGCTCTGATCTCCTTGTTGACCGTGCCACTTTCCCGAGCTCAGTGGCTGTGGTAAGAATCATAGATAGACAGGCCAACCGACATAGGTCCCAGTATCTCCATGGAAGTCGATCTGGAATTCATCGGGTGGGAGGCAAAAGCAATCCCGCTTATCTTTGATGATCCGCTGGGCTCTCACTCGGCAGAGATAAGGCGTGACAAAGGGCTGGCTTAGTCTCCGCGGAAATAGGAAAAGGAGATCCGCTATCGTCCTTATCAGTCAACCCTGACGATAACAGACGGAGAGCCATACTCGGTCCCTGTTGCACAGTCACTCCACGATGGTGTTATGTCGTATGGCTTGACTCTCCGCGAATATCGGCGATTAGGCTCGAACATGGGTGGATGCAATCGTAGCAGGGTTCGCTGATGACAATAAGTTATTAGCAGAAATAAAACGCAACTGATTGGTTGCGTTTTCGTGGATGCCAACTCGGCAAAGATCTGTAGGTTGTATATGAGCAGAGAGGTCCTCAGCCATCCCCTAGAAAAACGATAGAGAGAAGAGTTCATTCTGGTAATGCGTTGTGGCCTATACTGGCATTGAGGCTTAGTCACGATGCCGTTGATTGACAGCTCAAGAAACAACGATGCTGTCCAGAGCAGTATCAGCAACGGTATATCCCATGCGACAATCGCCGAATCTGTCAGAGACTTAGATTATCGTCACAATGACCCGATCCGACGGCAAAAGATTGTGGTCGTCGGGTTGGGTATGGTCGCGATCTCATTCATGTATGTTGCCAGCTCGATGGATAAAGACCGATCTTGAGAGGGGTTCTCTACTAACTAACGGTACCATCAAATAGTGAGAAAATTGTCAAACAAGATGCAGAGAGACGCAAGTACGACATTGTCGTGATTGGGGAGGAGCCTCACATTGCTTATAATCGTGTCGGTCTCTCCTCATTTTTTGAACATCGCAAGATCGAGGATTTGTACCTCAATCCCAAGGAATGGGTAAGTACTTAACGATCAAGTATTCAGGCTTTCCATCCAGCTGATACTAAGGTTCCTCTCTTCTACAGTACGGGTCGTTCAAGGACCGGTCATTCGATTATCATCTCAACACCAAAGTCACCGATATTTTCCCAGACCACAAAACCGTCAGGACTTCAACTGGCGACATCATCCCCTATGATATTCTCGTCCTCGCTACAGGCTCAGATGCAGTACTCCCCACACACACTCCTGGCTATGATGCCAAGGGTATCTTCGTTTACAGAACAATCCAAGACCTGGAACGTCTCATTGAGTTCGCTTCGGAACACAAGGGTGAAACCGCGGTCACTGTAGGAGGAGGCTTGCTGGGCCTGGAGGCAGCCAAAGCAATGACAGATCTCGAGGATTTTGGAAAAGTCAAACTCATTGACCGCAACAAGTGGGTTTTGGCACGGCAGCTCGACGGCGATGCCGGCACGCTGGTAACTCGGAAGATCAGAGAGCTTGGCCTGGACGTATTACACGAGAAGCGGGTCGCGAAGATCAAAACGGATGTCGACAACAACGTCACTGGCATCATCTTTGAAGACGGCGAAGAGATTAGCTGCTGCTGCATTTGTTTTGCTGTAAGTCACTATGGAAGAGCGTCATCAGTACTTCGCTAAACTTGCTTCTAGATTGGAGTGCGACCCAGAGATGAACTGGGGCCTCCTGCCGGCATTCAGTGCGCTCGACGGGGGGGGTTTGTTATCAATGAAAGGTCAGGACATATTGTTCTTTCGGATATCTATCGCGAACTGACTTGATACTCGTACTTAGTTTACAAACTTCCGTTCCCGATATCTATGCCATTGGCGAATGTGCTAGTTGGGAGAATCAGACGTTCGGAATTATCGCACCTGGGATAGAAATGGCCGATGTGCTTTCCTTCAACCTGACCAATACCGATAAGGAACCAAAGAGCTTCAAGCGACCGGATCTGAGCACAAAGCTCAAACTCCTTGGTGTTGACGTTGCCAGCTTTGGAGACTTCTTTGCCGACAGAGATGGGCCCAAATTCCTCCCGGGGCGACGGCCATCGATTGTCGACGGCTCTCTGAGAAACGCTGATAGCGACAAAGAGCCAAATGTCAAGGCGTTGACATACAAGGACCCCTTCGCCGGAGTCTACAAGAAGTACTTGTTCACTATGGATGGGAAGTACTTGCTTGGAGGTATGATGATTGGCGACACCAAGGACTACGTGAAATTGAACCAGATGGTCAAGAGCCAGAAGCCTCTCGAAGTACCTCCCAGTCAGTTTATCCTTGGATCCCAGAAGGACGGCGAAGAGAATGCCGACGATTTGTAAGTCTTGCGATTGCGTGCTGGACAGGAAAAGGCACTAACACGAACACCACAGAGACGACGACGCTCAGATCTGCTCGTGCCACAATGTCACAAAAGGAGACATCGTCGAAAATGTCAAGAGTGGCACATGCAAGACTATCGGTGAAATTAAGTCCTGCACAAAAGCAGGGAGTGGCTGTGGTGGATGTATGCCATTGGTGCAGTCGATCTTCAACAAGGCCATGCTGGACATGGGTCAAGAAGTATCGAACCATCGTATGTGTCTGACATAATGACTCCACTAATTTGCTCTGACCGAGATATAGTCTGCATGCACATCCCATATTCGCGAGCCGATCTCTATACTGTAATCGCTGTCAAAAGACTGAAAACATTTGTCGATGTCATGCAGGCCGTGGGAAGGAAGCCGGACTCTCTGGGCTGCGAGATTTGCAAACCTGCCATTGCATCCATTCTTTCGAGTTTGTTCAACCAGCACATTATGGACAAGGAGCTACATGATCTTCAAGAGACAAATGACCGATTCCTTGCCAACATCCAGAGAAACGGAACGTTCTCTGTGGTTCCGCGAGTCCCTGGTGGTGAGATCACTGCGGATAAGCTGATCACCATTGGTCAAGTGGCGAAGAAATATGATCTCTACTGCAAGATTACAGGAGGACAGCGTATCGACTTGTTCGGTGCCAAGAAGCAAGATCTACTTGACATCTGGACGGAGCTCGTGGATGCGGGAATGGAGAGTGGTCATGCTTATGCCAAGTCGCTCCGCACAATCAAGGTACTGCCACCCATTTAGGTTTATGTTTCCAAGCTGACGTATTCTATCAGAGCTGCGTCGGAACTACATGGTGCCGGTTCGGTATCGGCGACAGTGTTGGAATGGCGATTCGATTGGAGGAGCGCTACAAGAGTATTCGGTCACCTCATAAGCTCAAGGGAGCGGTATCTGGTTGTGTCAGAGAGTGCGCCGAAGCTCAGAACAAGGAGTAAGTACAAGGTCATTCTTAGACTGTAAAGGTACATGTATCTAATTTCTGATCAGTTTCGGATTGATTGCAACCGAGAAGGGATACAACATTTTCGTTGGTGGCAATGGAGGTGCCAAACCTCGGCATTCAGAATTGCTTGCGAAAGATGTGCCTCCTGAGAAAGTCATTCCTATCATTGATCGATATCTCATTTTTTATATTAGAACGGCAGACAAACTTCAGCGGACTGCCCGGTGGATCGAGAACCTCCCCGGCGGTATCAACTATCTGCGAGAGGTGATCATCGACGACAAGTTGGGGATTGGCGCTGAGATGGAACAGCAGATGGAAGGACTGGTGAACAGCTACTTTTGTGAGTGGACTGAGACAGTCCGCAATCCTAAGCGACGCAAGTACTTTCAGCAGTTCGCCAACAGCGACGAGACTGTCGACACGGTTGAGGTCATCAAAGAACGTGATCAGCAGCGACCCACATACTGGCCCAAGGACTCTGCAAACGAGGACTTCAAGGGTCACCAGTGGTCGACTCTATCATGGCAGCCTGTCGTCGAAGCCAACTACTTTTCAGATGAGCACCCGCAAGTTTCCTCGGCCAACATCAAGCGCGGGGATACTCAGTTGGCCATCTTCAAGGTCAAGGGCAAGTACTACGCCACACAACAAATGTGCCCGCACAAACGCGCCTTCGTCCTATCTGACGGTTTGATTGGCGATGACGATGCGGGTAAATATTGGGTCTCTTGCCCTTACCACAAACGCAACTTCGAGCTCAACGGTGAGCAGGCAGGGCGTTGCACGAATGACGAGAGCATGAACATTGCGACCTTCCCTGTTGAGGAACGCGACGATGGCTGGGTATATATGAAGCTGCCACCCGTCGAGGAACTCGATTCGGTTCTGGGAACCGAGAAATGGAAGGTGAAGAAGGGGGAAGCACCAGACCCGTTTCAGAAGGTCGACAAGAGGTACAAGGGCATGAGGGGAAAGAAGGCGTGTGATATCAGTGCGCAAGCGCCAACCACACAGGCGGCAAACATTATCGATTGG